TTATAATTGCACGATTCAATAGTGTTGTTGTGCATGCTCATCCAATATAATCTGGATCTTATATGATCGATCGCCATGTTAATTATGGAAGTGTCACTCCTAGAGACGATCTTCTTTATGTCGGTGCCCATCAAGTTTGCCCGCCATATCCCCATGCCCTCGGGCCCATCCTCTCGAAACCAAAATATATAACTGCAACATTAAGTGATATAAATTTTGTAGAATTTTAACGAGCATTATACTTGCGCTTTCGTTATTTTTTAACGCGGACAAATTAACTTAGACAACATGTGATTATAAATGATATAATACTTCTATTGTTAGATAAACGAAAGTGAGAAAGGTGTAAGCTATATAAAAATATATGTACCCTATTAATGGGTTGACTGCGAGGGTCGTTATTTTCAATTGATAACCTAGCCGGATCACCACTGCACATTTTTGTTGTTCGAAGTTGCATACCTTTATAATCAATAATAAATTAGATTAGTAATCAGCAAATGCTAGGTGCCGTCGTTAGCTTGATATTGTAAAAAAATATACCCCAATCACAATCGGAAGATTCCTTTGGAATATATCCTTGACGCTGTAGTAGACATTATTAGTGATCCAATCAACCGCAAGGTTTCCCGCAGTCAGGCCGTCTATGGTCAAGATTTCTTGCGTTTCAACGTCGATTTTCAAAATAGCACCATCCCCTGCAATCATTTTATCTCAGTATTTACTCGAACAATATGCGCGCACCTTTGAACATATGCTTCTAAAATGCTTTTAAATGGTTTAGAATCTTAAATTCTTTTAATAAATATCTTAACAATATATATATTTCTAATATATTTTTTCACAGAACTTTTAAATCGTTCGTAACTTTTTTTAAATTTTTTAATAGATATCGTATTTGAATAATTTAATGCAGACTAACCGTCACTCCAATAAACAGCATCATCGCGTGCATTCGTAACTATATCGATGATTGAAATCAATGATCCATCATGCACTACCTCAACAGAGTTAGACCCATCAGCCGATATTTTCCACAAATTCTGAAGGGTGGTGGTGATAAATTGCATCTGTGGTCCTAGACAATCATCATTGACATTCATTATTATATCATGAATAACTTGCACAAAGATTTAGTAGCGACTACTTACCGATAGATTTGCAAGAAATTTTATCAGTACGAAGAGAGTATTCGTCTATGCACGAACATTCGTACGATCCCACAGTGTTCACACACTTCTGCGAACAAACATTTTGTTGGCACTCATTTATATCGTTACAAGATATCCCGTCGGAATCCAAGCTATATCCAGATCGACAACTGCAAACAGTGCCGTTCGGTGTATTGTGACACAGGTCTTCACATTTAGCATTTTGACAAGCTATTGCTGTATGAAAAAAACAGACATATAATGAAATGATAAATATCCGTGTTAAATTTTATCAATATAAAATATTTCTCGATTACGTCTTACATAAATTTTTCAGATATTAGTCTGTAAATTCTTCAAAAACGCTTCTCCGTATATTTTACTAAATTTCTTATTTTTTTATACAATAACTGTTTCAACAGCGCGATTAAAGATGAGTTTTTCTTTTTACATACAGCAACTTCTATGTTTTTCGTCGCTACCGTCCGGGCAGTCTTTAATACCGTCGCACACTTTATTAAACGACAAACAAATGCCGTTGGTGCATTTGAATTGATTACAGTCTTTGGGATTTTTCTTGTCATTGCTACAGTCTGTCTCATCCGAATTATCGCCGCAGTCGTCCACGTTGTTGCATACCATCTTCTTCGAGATACACTTCTGATTTTTACATTTGAATTCGTTCTTGAAACAGTACGCGCAACGAAATTCGTCGTCATTTCTCGGGCAATCCTGGATCCCGTTACATCTGCAAGACAAGTGATAAAGAGTACATTTAGAGTTATATTAGTTATAGTTTGTTTCTTTTACATACATCAGAAAATGGATGCAATAAGTTGACGGCGCGACAAGGTTTGCAAGTATCAAAATCGGAACTATTTTCAAATGTGAAATAGGGTAGAATAAACGATTTCATTTGTATTGTTTGCCGATTATAAACACGTTACGTTTAAAAGGGTGAACTTACTTCGCTTTCTTCGAAACACATATACCAGAGTTCATACACAGATATTCGTTCTCGGTGCAATTACGAGAATAACCAGATCTCGTACAATATTTCTCGTCACTATAATCAACGCAATCATTGATGTGATTGCATATCAATGAATTAGATATGCAACGACCATTAGCGCACTCGTAGTAGTCAGGGCCGCAAATGTTTTTGAAGTGACAATCCTCAGCTTCATCCGAACCGTCCGGACAATCCAACTTAAACACAATTACGAGAAAGTATATAAAATCAAATTGTTGTTAATTGCAAATGAATAAAAAATCTTTACAACAGATTATAATTTAAAAAGTTAGAAATCCAGTTTCACAAAATATACTTTATCAGTTTTCTTTTGATGTCCATATTCATTTTGTACAGGACCAAGCTTTGAATTAATAAGAAATGTTGAAATAATTCTTACGTGATAAGATTAAGAGTCAGTCGAGCTAATATAATAAATGTGTAAAAATATTCATTGTAATTCTGTAACAAAATAATCGACTCACTTCGTTGTCGCATTTCCAATTCTTCGGAATGCATTTTCCCATGTCGCACATGAACTCGTCCGAAGAGCATTTATGAGTAACGCAGTGTTCCTCATCAGAAAGATCAGGACAGTCATAAAAGCCGTTGCACACTAAAGAAGGCGGTATACATCTTCCTCCTGTATGGCACCGGAATTCTCCTGAAAGAATTCGATTGAGAAAAAATTCTAATTTTGAAAACTAAGTTTTAAGATTAATACAATATTAGAAAAAAATATTTCGATAATAAATATGAAATAAAGTAAGCTGCTTATTCAAATTTCAAAGATGTAGTTGGTTCTGACGAATGTACGCGGAAGAATATATATCTTCATACTTTCAAAAAATATATTTCAACGAGAAATAAAACAAAACAATGAAATGAGATATGCTGCTAATTCAAATTCAAGTTAATAAATTTAACATAAAAAAATGAGTGGCCATGTGATATTAAATAATGCTACCTAGGGGAAAAATTATAATTTTTTTAACATTGTACCTAATTACCTGTTTTGCATTGCTTTTCCGAGCAATTCTGCTCATCCGACTTATCAATGCAATCAATATGAAAATTGCAACGTTTGTTCGCATTTATGCACGTGTGATCATTGCACATAAATTCATTTTCCTCGCAAATACCACTCTCCTTACAATTGCTTTCCTCGTCTTCACCATTCGGACAATCCTTGTGGCCATCGCACCTAAATAAATCGTAAAGTTTTATAAATACATATATCGACATCATGTTCATATCATATAGATACAATAATTTACTAAAGTAAATATCTTCCTTCTGTTTACAAAAACAAAAAAATATAAGTTTTCAAATAATTAATCTATTATCATATATATGGATTATATAAAAGTTGATAAATATACCATTGTTCCGGCTTTATGCAAACGTCATGCTCACTGCATTTAATTGTGAGAATAGGACACGTCGGCACAATACATGTACGATTATCCGCGCTTAGTGCCATTTCGGGAGGGCAAGCGCAAATCTGAAAGTAATAACATACAATTAAATATTTGAATGTTTCTACGAAAAACAATAACACATCGTGGATTAAAGTAATTATATTCTAAGTGACAAATATGAAACACATGCATCGCATTTTTGTCGAATTTTAAACACATAATTAGGTCGTCGAAAGTTTTCCTACTTACAAATGATTGAAGAGAAGAAGGCAAGCACACATGTGAGCAGTTTCCATTATTTTGCAAACAACCTTTCTTCTTGTGGATAACCATTCCACGCACATTTACCACAAGTGGATTTTCCACTTTATCTACAGGCATAGCTAAAAGAAAATTCAGTTTTTACTGATTAACAGTTTTTACAGACTAACAGAAGATATTTCTTCTTACATATGTATATTCTCTATTTTACAAAACATCAAACAAACTCACTTAATACAATATGCTTATCGTCAAATATTGTTTGGCGTATAGTTTTCCGATATAACAGTGTCGAATTGTGTTCAGTCCAAAAAATACTATCTTCAGTGACGTCAAAACTTACTGCCGCACTGTTTGATGTAGTTTTGCATTTTATCGCTAAAAGATCGCTAATTAATATATACAATATTTTATGATACCAGACTTGATTTGTTAATTTGAAAATATATTTCGAAGTACCCAGTACAAAACTTACGTTCAACCATGTGTAGGACAATACATTTATAATTTGTAAATAATGTAGACGAGTTCAAATCGTAACGCAATAGCAATCTTGACGAATCAGCATTATCAGCATTATCAGCTAGCACTACAGCTCCAAATTTTTCTCCTGAGAGTCCATTCATGTTTATTCCACGTAACTTTTGAAGATTGAAGAAAAACGAGATTTCTGTTTTGAACGTCACAAACATTATGCTGTAATATACAGAACAATACACATTAATTGAATCACTAATGATTGTTCCGTAAATAATGATTGTAATTAATAAAATACAGTACCCTTTTGTAGGCACTGTTTCGATAGAATGAGGCTCTTCACTTAAGAAATAAAAGATCGTATTTTTTTTAGTTGTCAAACTATGTACTTCAATACTTCGGTGTTTTAAGTTCGACAAGTACACATTATTACCAATATAATCAAATGCCATTCCTCCCACTATCATATCTTCGATCGATATGAGATTAGTAATATTGCCGTCTTTCGGATCATAGCGAATGACATAGTGATTATACTGATCGATAGCAAGTATAGTGCCTGTAAGTTTTAATCGTAAAAGATAATATAAAACAAAAATTAAAGAACATTCTTATTCGTAAAATAGCAATCTCGTCATACCAGTGAGTTGATCGTAAATTGCTTCAGTGATTGAAATATTATTTGAAACAGTACTCGTAGTTACTTTCGGCGTTCCTAATATCTTGTAATAATAATTTATGAATGTATTTCCAGCAATGATGACAAGATATTGCTTCTTCCCGTCTGAAATTATATTTACGCTCATCAAAGACTGTAATCAGAACTCGTTAATATTAAACGTTTAAAGTTCGTCATTGTGACACAAGTGTCAGAGTGCCGAAAAATTTAGAATTTTTTCTGAATTGCAAATTTACCTAGACAAGTATGTCGATCGGTGTCCAATATATAGTCCATGGAACAGGCGCACGTATAGCTATTGTTCCGATTCAACAAACACAGTTGGGAACATGGATTCGTATGACATGGATTTGAAACCTAAAATCAAATTGAATGATAACGCAAGTTTTGCGGCCGATTTTATATTTATCGAACAATGAAAGATACTTCGTACTTTGGATTTCATCGCTGGATGATCGATGTGCATACCATAAGATATGGCATTGTTCATTGTGCGAAGTAAGATTTTGCAATCTTTTCCGAAAAATTTATCGCATGATCGTATTGAGTTATATTCGGAATCGCTCCAGTACAATTTATTCTCGAAAACCGTAAAGGAAATCGCAGACATCGAAGGAAAATATAATATCTTCTGCGGATAATTGAAATAGAAACGCATCAATTAAATCTTACAATTTTGTATCTTAATGGTTTTTTAAAAAAATGCACACTCACTCTTTCATCTGTGCCATCTAATTTTACTGATTGGATCGCTCCTTTGGTTAGCCAGTACAACCGATTGTTTGGATAGTCAATAGCCAATGCTTCCGTAAAAAATTCTGGTTTAAACAGAGTTGTCATGTTTTTTCCATCCATTCCTACCACTTTTATTTCTTTTGTAACATTAATTTCTTCTTCAAAGTAATACATTAATCTGTAAATATTATGAAACATATTTTTTCATTAAATGTACAACTATTTTGATCTTCTAAATAAGATTTAAAAAGCAATTTTAATATATAACTATATAAAATAGATTAGACACATAATGTATAAAAATGTAGCACATTATTAATTAACTTCAAATTTCTATTTGCAAAACAAATTTCTAATAAAGTATTTATTAATTCTGAAATCGGAACAGGAAAGAGAGGAGATACAATCGATTAATAAGATCTGAGAACTAATGGCTTTGTAAGATTATTGTATGTATATATAATAGAACTTTCATTGAAGTGTATAATATATGTATTTACCCTTTAGTCGGTAACAAGACAAGTGATCTCGGTTCCCTATTGTGAGTATCGATTACTACGGTGCAGTATGTGCCCTTATCATTGCAAGCTCCGATACGGAAGTAGCCGGAATCAGTAAAATATATATTTCCCGTGATCCAATCCACAGCTAAACTCGTCACCTTGTGTAGACCTTTTCATGATAAAAGCACATAAAATAATACTGAATTGTATAATTGCATTAAAATTATAATATATTACAAGCCACGACTTTTCGAACATATTATTTTGAAGTATTTACTATATAAACAAATTTAACACAACAATTACAATATTTTAATCTTTTATTTAATTTATTTTTATTATAATATTTTTTAAATATTGATATTAGTTTTTTTCATATTTTCTATCATAATCTGCTAATGTATAATATTACAGTTATTATAATTCTGTTATTACATATGACAATAATACAATATATGAATATATGTATAATAAATTATAATTATAAATAATGGTTCGGTTTAATATAATAAAAAAAATACTCATATTTTTATTTCCTATTGCGAAAAGAGACAATATTTTTCAAAATAGTATATATTGTAAAATTATTTATACATATTTATACAAAGATCATAATAATCAATAAATATTATTAAAAAGCTTACCTGCAATGATTGTTTCGTGCTTCTCACGCGTATGAATATTAAATCTCTTAATCACAGAGCTCTCATTTCCCTTCACTTCAGACCAATACAGGTAATCTTCGTTTACAACCACATCGACGATGTGGTCTAAGTTTTTCACCACGTTAAAGTGTTTTTGCGAACCGAAATAGTATTCGAAAATATCCGTTTTCGTAGAAAACAACAATATAGCCTCTTGACCTAAATTCCAAAAGAGATTTGCATATTTGTTAAGTTTTAATAGCAGAGTTTTAATAGATAAGCATAATAACGCTTGCAAACAAGTCTACCATCAGCTATGCAAGTTTTTTTGTCATCCTGCAATGAATAATCCGGATGACAGAAACACTTGTATGATCCTGGGAGATTCTCGCATCCTTGATCGCATATCCCGTAAGTCTGACACTCGTCGATATCTATGAAAAAAAATCGTTAAGTAAACGAGAAAAAAGAATGCAATTCTCGTACAATTGCCATTTTCGTTCATTGCGCATTTACCTGTACATGTATTATTCTCTTGCAATTTATACCCGGGTGGACAGAAACACGCATGTCCTGTAAGGGTTGTCTTAATATGTTGACATATTTTGGATGAAGCTTCAATTTTGCCTAAAAGAGAAATGATTAATATAATAAATTGCGTAATAAATTTACGTTAAGAGTATGTCATAATAAATAGAAAATAAAATAATACTAAAAACACATTAAAATACGATAATAAACATACTCACAATTATCACCTTCATCTAAATGATATATATATAATTTTTTTTTAAATTAATGTATCTTACAAATTTTAATATTAATACTTTGTCTTACCAGAACTGCCATGTTCTGCCTTGCTGCTATTAACCGAAATCCATAAGAAGCTGCATATAAATAACAAATACGCAAACGACATAATCTGCAAGACACGTTAAAATTTTATTATTAATTATTTGTTACTTTCTCAATTATTTTTGCACTAAACTATTTAAATACGCGAATTACACATTAAAATTTTAAAATAGAAGTAGAATCATTTTTGTGAATAGTACTAAAAATTGTTTACCAAGTACAACTAAGTACTTGAGCTATTAAGCGCTAATCTTTAGTAATTAATTGTTACGTAACCACTTAGACATTAGATTGTCAATATAAAAATGATTTTTTTAATTGGCATGAGTAAATCATACAGTGAGCCATCGTTATTAATATTATTGTGTAATAAGTTATTTTGGAATTTCTAATATAGAATTTCTAATAATAGAAAACCTATTCCTATGCCTATCTATCCGCCTTCTTTTCCCTTGACCTTTCTCTTTCCCCCTACTTCGTCCTGCACTCCCTTCACTCACACACACTCTCACTCTCACCCCTCCTTCTGCTCTCCTCTCGCTTCTCAAGTCACCCTAAAAATTTTGCTCTACTCAACGTGTCGCACTCTATCGCACCGGAAACAGAAATCAGACTATCCAAAATTACTAAATACACAATATTTCGAAAAAAAATTTTTTTTATTGTATATGGTTATAAGCGAGATATAATCCTTTTTTACGATAAATAAAAGTTAAAGAACATTCTGATTTGTAATAATTCTTATTTTATATAATGACAATAAAAATGTTACTTAAAAATGAAAAAAAATTATAGAAAGCTAACAACCTTTCGCGTCCTACAATGTTCTCGATATATCTTATCGCGAATACGAATAAGGCATAATCAAAATGCTGATTAATAATCACAACGGTTAATTGTTTCACTTACTTATTTTCTTATAAATATGTTAATAAATGGAACAAAAATCGCACATATTAAAATATTGCCTATACATGCAAAATTGTATGATTAGAATTGTAATGAGTATTATATTTTATAAAGATGGTAAATTTTAATGTATTATAATATTCGATCGTAATATTGAAGTGAATCAAAACTCTTGAGATTCGCGACAAAATTCGAGATGAAATTATATTTATAACTTTATGCAATAAAAGAATTTTTGAAGAATTTGAACACCACAGGCCACACACACGCACGCGAAATCATGTCCGAAATTCTGTCGCAAATTATAAATTATCTAAAATGGTTTTTACATTATATCACATTAATTAAATATTATAATATTATATTTTATGTTTAATTATTTTATTACGTTTAATATCATATTTTAATTCTATATAATACAATATTTTATAATCGTAAAAACTTTCAATATCGTTTAAAAAGTGTTTTAAATAACTCAAAAAATTGTTATATTTAATTTAATTTATATCTTATGTATCAGGTTGCAAAGAAAGTTTCCGGAAAATGGCAGGAATCTGGTTCATACCTGCATATCTTTTTCGCTCCGTTTGTAATTGTAGGTGGTTTCAGGTAGATTCAGGGTCAGTGTCCGGTCAGAGAATTTGGTTTCTCCCTTTCAACCCGCTGTAACTTGTGCTGCGTAACACGGTATGGGAAAGAACGCGTTACCCTGATGGAAGACGACCCCGTACCGCTTAAGTAATACGGCTTTAACCGTATTTCTTGCAATATAGCATTGTCCTATCCGACTTTCAACTCTTCTGTTCTTTGTCAAGCAGATTTCTTGCAGAGAGAATCTTTACTAACAACGACTAGAAGTAATGCCTCCAATGACTTCTTCATCTCCCGATCGCCAGACTTCTATCGCAACGGGATATTATAACTCATTGAGCGAAGGAACAAGATTATTAGCATTAACGGGGATTAGTGACAGTGTTGTGAAACGTAGATATGTTCTTGTCATTTTCCGCAAACTTTCTTTACAACCTGATATATACACATATATATATATATACTGTGTGTGTGTATAACTAGATATTTAAAATTATATATTATTATATATAATTTTAAATATTTACTTTGTTAATAAACCTGGAATAATTTTATAAAAGACAAATAAAATGTACTCACCGCAATAAATTGAAGTGCTTATGTACATTAACGTCTTCACGTATTCTTTGTAACTTGGAGAATAAAAGAACCGGCCGCAGCGTCGCACAAAATGCTTCTAACTTGAATGGTTCAAATTCATCCCTCCGAGTCCTTCCCACTACCAAACGTATCGAGATCCTAAAAGTCTCTATTAACATCATAGGAACTTCATGGATACCTCCTTATACACGTTTGGTATGACAATATATGCCATAAATACGAATTCTACCGGCTAACTTAGAATTCAATCAAATAATATTTCAAAATACATACATGAAAATTGAAATAATAAATTTTAACAAATAATAATAACAATAAATGCGAATATATCTATAAGATAATTACGCTACATAAATTTTAGTTCTTATTTTAGAGAATATCATAAATTATATTATATCCGTACTTGGTATAAATTAATTTGTAAATTATATCATAATTTTTACAATCATGCAATTCAACAATATCAGCGTGGTAAATATTAAAAAAATAAAAGAAGAAAGAAGATAATTAACCTGATAATGAACTTACTTCATTTTAATAATTCCGATAACAAATATTATTTACTAGGCATCAGCGATTGAAAAATACAGCGATTGGAGCAGTACTGCTTGAAAACTAATCGAATAAAGTGCCATATATTGTTGCAGAATAACATTAAATGCTTCGAATAAAATCAAATTTTAATTTCTACAACACTTTTACTTGCTCTACAACATTTTCTTCATTTTACTTTTTTCATTCCTGTATCACAAAATTAAATCGAATTTAAGCAAATTAATCGCCTTTCTCTATTAAAACATTGCAATAATCGTAATACTGATATTTAACAAATGCAATTTTCATTAATCATGTGGTAATACTAAGTGCAAAATCTAATTTTTAAAGTAAATTTTATATCATATATTTATATAAAAATTGCGAAAAAAGTAAGAATTTTTATAATCAATTGTTAGCCAAATACTGCATAAGATAAAAATATTATTACATTTTATGTATATAAAATTGTAAAAATATTTTTTTGTATACTACAATACAAAAAGTAGGTATATAATATAAATGAAAACAATTTATGATATATCAGCTATAGATACATAAAATTATTATTATCAATTAATATTATTACAAATATCAAAACATGATTTTTAATATATTATATATTCTTATATAGTATTTGATATCATATATTATACATCCAAAATATGTATATCGTACATAATTTTTAAGTACCTAATTTGAACTTAATAAGTGCTGTATTAAATAGTGTAGTATATATGCCAGTAATAAATGCGATCAAAAACGTATCAAATACAATATCAAATACTACAACAATATAAAATATACTAAGAAACATGTTTAGCATTAGTGATTAATAAGAATTTTTTTAACGCGCACACGCGGCATACAAGGATTCACTATCTTTAACAAGATGAATACCAACAATGTTATAACCTTTTTTCATATTTTAAGCCACACGACGTCTTGGTCCTCATATTAGATTTTTTATTATCAGGCTGTACGATCGAATGATTTATACTGATACAAAATATATTGTAAATATAATCCTGATATTGGTACAAAATACATCGTAACCTATAAAAAAACAATATCGATACGGCGGCCGGTGCGACGTGCGGCAATCAACGTGTTAATTTTATTTTATAATATATTTTAAGTACTTATTAAGCCTTACGACCTCCATTAAGTTCTCAAATTACGATTAGCCAAAATGAATTAAGGATTTATCTTTTTCTGTCTCTGTATCTTCTCTTTCTGATTGGTTCAAACTTTCTTTCAGTCTTTTTAAACCACTTTCCTTCGCAGCATACAAGTGAATACTGCATATTTAATTCTGCAATAATTTATTGCACGTGAATAAGTAATCATAAATCATCATAATCAACGGATATTTTGTTCAATCATATAATACGCGCGTATACTAATGCAGAAATTTTTACCAATGAAATTAAGTATATACAAATAAATATAAATACGTATAGCAGCATATGATATAATTAAAAGAACAAACACCGTTTGCAACTTACCTCTGATAATTCTTCAGTAACAGGATTCATATATTCATGTTGTCCAGGGAATATGTTACTTGAAGCCGTGGAATTGAACGTTACAGTGTTTACAGTGACTTCGTCTCTTCGATCGAACAACGGGTTTTGGAAGCGAATTCTATCGAAACTGTATCATATCATTATATATCATTATATCACGAATAAAATGCGAGTCTTAAATAAGTCAAACAAATTTGGGACATACCTATTAATTATATTAAGATCTAGTACACCTAGTTTCAATTTATACTTTTGATAAAGGTAGTAAACGCCGAACAACGCCCCTACGATCAGTATCATGATTATTATAATACTACAGATGCCACCGTTATGACAAGTATGTGTAGAAACAAATGCTATGTCCTCGTTCGCATTTTTCGGACAAATAGTATTGGGTTTTACTGGTTTGCCATCTTGACAAATGCACGTCACAAAAGATTCGATATGCTCATCAAGAAGATCGATAATACTATGATTCAAAACGCACATATAGTCGCAATGTTCTATTTTACAAAAATTCTCCACTGTTGGGTAAAAACATAGCTCAATTTTATTTTTTAATATTAAATGTTTATCACATGTTGTATCATTTTGATATTCATTAGAAATATACTAACCGACATTAGGATGATTGACAGTATGAAAGATGGTGAAGTGCCTGTGAATGTTGTGGGTGCCTATGTCTATCGTTGTACATGCTTTATCGCCATACAGTTTGCACTTTTGCAACTGACCGGTCGAAGCCATTAGCCAATAAATCGAGTCTTCAAAAATATTAATACTTGCCGGTCGACATATCTAAAAATCAAAAAGTATTTTTGTTAGAGAAAAAAATATAACATATCAGCATAATGTTGCGAACAATACAATTGCGCTTTGTGCACAGATATCTTTCGTCATAATAGAAAGATCGTAGAAATAATGATATCCATTTACGTACATCTGTATTTAAGAACGTGGTGCGACCATCTCCTTCATAATTGGCTGATTCGATAGTTTTGAAGTAACTGTCCGACCAATATAATTTGAATTTTAGTTGATCGATTGCCATTCCACTTACGACGCTAATATTCCTAAAAACGATCTTTTTCATGTCGGCGCCCATCAAGTTCGTCCGATATATCTCAGCGATTGGCTTGTCGTGACTGTGCCAAGTGGTATGAGACCAAAATAGATAACTGCAACATTAAGTAATATAAATTTTGTAGAATTTTAACGGGCACTTTTGTATTGTACTTCTGCTTTCGATATTTTGTAATGCGTCTAAATTAATTTGATAATGTAATTATAAATAATATAATAATTCAATTGTTCGATAAACGAAAGTTAAAAAAAGTGTGAGAGACATAAAAATATAGGTACCCCAAGATTGGGTCGACTGCGAGGGCCGTAACTTTTGCCATATCCTTTATCTCGACTATTACTGCACATTTTAATTGTTCCAAGTTGCATACCTTTACAATCAATAATAAATTAGATTAGTAATCAGCAAACGGTGCAGTCGTCAGCTTGATATTGTAGAGAAATATACCTTAATCACATTTCGACGGTTGTTATCGTTGAAGTAGACATTATTAGTGACCCAATCAACCGCAATCGCTTTCGGAGTAAAGTTGCCCATAGTCAAGATTTTTTTCGTTTTTACGTTCATTTTGTTAATAGTGCCCTCTTCCTCTGCAATTATTTTATCCGGTATTTATTCCGACAATACACGCGCATCTTTAGAAAAATGCTTTTAAAAAGCTTTTAGACGATTTATAATCTTAACTTCTTTTAATAAATATCTTAAAAATTCCAAACTTTCTTTAAACAACTTTTAACAGTTGATAACATTTTTTATTTTTTAAATAGATATCAGTATTTGAATAATGTAATGCAGACTAACCGCTACTCCAATAAAGAGCATCATCGAGTGCATTCGAATCGATACTGCTTATGCTAAAACCTGCTAAATGATGCACTAACTCAACAGAGCCTACATCAGCCGATATATTCCTGATATCATCACCGGTGGTGGTGATAAAATGCATTTGCGGTCCTAAACGATCATCATTGATATTCATTATTTTATCATGAATAACTTGCACAAAGAGCGACTACTTACCGATTTAGTAGCGACTACTTACCGATAGCTTTGCAAGAAACTTTATCGGTACGAAGAGAGTAGATGCTTAAGCACTCACATATGTACGATCCCACAGTGTTTAAACAATTCTGCGAACAAACATTTTGTAGGCACTCATTTATATCGTTACAAGACTTCCCGTTAGAATCCAAACTATATCCAGGTCGACAACTGCAAACAGCACCGTGCGGTCTATTCTGACACATGTCTTCACATTTAGCGTTTTGACAAGCTAATGCTATATAAAAAAAAAAACAGACATATTATGAATTAAATATCCGCGTATTAAATTTTATCAATATAAGCTATTTCTCGATTATGTCCCCTATAAATTTTTAGACATTAGTCTCTGCAAATTCTTCAAAAATGCTCCTCCGTGTAATTCACTAAATTTCTTATTTTCTTTTAATACAGTAATTGTTTTAACAGCGCGATTGAAGATTAGTTTTGTTGTTACATACAGCAATTTCCGTACTCGTCGCTACCGTCCGGACAGTCATTAATGCCGTCGCATACTTTGTCAAACGACAAACAAGTGCCACTGGTGCATTTGAATTGATCGCAGTTTTCGATATTTTTCTTATTATTTCTGCAGTCTGTTTCTTCCGAATTATCGCCGCAGTCGTCCACGTTGTTGCATACCAAATGCTTCCCGATACACTTCTGATTGTCACATGTGAATTCGTCCTCGAAACAGTACGCGCAATAAAATTCGTCGTCATTTCTCGGGCAATCCTGGATCCCGTTACATCTGCAAGACAAGTGATAAAGAGTACATTTAGAGTTATATTAGTTATAGCTCGTTTCTTCCACATACATAAAAAAATGGGTGCGATAAGTTGACGGCGCGACAAAGTTTGCAAGTATCAAAATCAGAACTATTTTCAAATGTAAAATAGGGTAGAATTAACGTTTTTATTTGTATTGTTTGCCGATTATACGTTACGTTTAAAAGGGTGAACTTACTTCGCTTTCTTCGAAACACATATACCAGAGTTCATGCACAGATATTCGTTCTCGGTACAATTACGAGAATAACCATATCTCGTGCAATATTTCTCGTCACTATCATCACCGCAATCATTAATGTGATTGCATTGCAATGAATTAGATATGCAACGACCATTAGCGCACTTATAGTAGTCAGGGCCGCATATGCTTTTCAAGTAACAATGCCCAGCTTCATCCGAACCGTCCGGACAATCAAACTTAAACACAATTACGAGAAAGTATATAAAATCAAATTGTTGTTGATTGCAAACAAATCAAAAATTTTTACAACTGATTCAAATTAAAAAAATTAAAATTTAGTCTCACAAAATATACTTTATCAGTTTTTTCTTGATGTTCATATTGATTTCCAGCAGGATCAAGCTTTGAATTAATAAGAAATGTTAAAATAATTCTCATATGATGAAAAATTAAGAAAAGGTCGAGCTAAATGACAGCGTTAAGCGTACAAATGTAAATTGTAAATTTGTTATCGTTCAGACTCACTTCGTCGTCGCATTTCCAATCCTTCGGAATGCATTTTCCCATGTCGCACATGAACTCGTCCGAACTACATGTATAATTATCGCAGTGAAGTTCGTCAGAAAAATCGGGACAGTCATAGTTGCCGTCGCATACGGCGAAACGAGATATACATTCTCCTCCTCTGCGGCACCGGTATTCTCCTGAAAGAATTCGATTGAGAAAAAATTCCAATTTCGAAAACCAAGTTTTAAGATTTTAATACAATATTAGAAGAAAATATTTCGATAATAAATATGAAATAAAGGAAGCTGCTTATTCAAATTTCAAAGATGTAGTTAGTTCTGACGAATATACGCGGAAGAATATATCTTCATACATTCAAAAAATATATTTCGATGAGAAATAACATAAAACAATGAAATGAGATAAGCTGCTAATTCAAATTCAAGTTAATAAATTTAGCATAAAAGAAGAGTGACCATGCGATTTTAAATAACGTAACCTAGGAGAAAAATTATAATATGTTTGTCATTGTATCTAATTACCCTTATTGCATTGGATTTTGAAGCAATGTTTCTCATCAGAATCATCCACACAATCAGTAAAAAAATCGCAATGCTTGTCCTCATTTATGCACGTGTGATCATCGCACATAAATTCATCTTCCTCGCAAATACCTCTCTCCTTACAATTGCTTTCCTCGTCCTCACCATTCGGACAATCCTTGTGGCCATCGCACCTAAATAAATCATAAAGTTTCATGAATACATATATCGACATCATGTTCATATCATATAGATACAATAATTTACTAGTAAATATCTTCCTTCTGTTTACAAAAACAAAAAAAGTATAAGTTTTCAAATAATTATATAAAAGTTGATAAATATACCATTGTTCCGGCTTTATGCAAACGTCATGCTCACTGCATTTGATTTTGTGCATAGGACACCCAGTCGATACAATACATGTACGTTTATCCGCGCCTAGTACCATTCTGGGAGGGCACGCGCACATCTGAAAGTAATAACATAAAATTAAATATCTGAATGTTTCTACGAAAAACAATAACACATCGTGGATTAAAGTAATTATATTCTAAGTGACATATATGAAACACTAGCATTCGTCAAATTTTAAACACATAATTAGGTCGTCGAAAATTTTCCTACTTACAAATGATTGAAGAGAAGAAGGCAAGCACACATGTGAGCAGTTTCCATTATTTTGCAGACAACCTTCCTTTTTGTGGATAACCATTCCACGCACATTTATCACATGTGGATTTTCCACTTTATCTACAGGCATAGCTAAAAGAAAATTCAGTTTTTACTGACTAACCTTATTATATATGTATATTCTCTATTTTACAAAACGTCAAACAAACTCACTTAATACAACCTGCTTATAAAAATTTGGTCCGTTTCTATTCATCCGGTGTAACAGTTTTGAATTACGTTCAGTCCAGAAAATACTGTCTTCCGTGACGTCAAAACTAAATGCCTGTACTTCTGGTATAGACATGAATCTTATTCCTACTAAAAGATCGCTACTTAATATACACAATAATTTTATAATACAAGATATGATTTGTCAATTTAAAAATATATTTCAAAGAACTCAATGAAAAACTTACCACTTTTAAACAATAACGGAGGTAAATTTGTAATAACAAATTTCTGATTTGCAAATAATGTGGATACGTTCGAATTATGATTTAATCGTAATAACAATCTTGATGGATTATCGGAATTGTATGTAGATATATATTCTCTTTTATCACTGAGTGATCCATTCAATGTCATTTTCATTAGCACTTCATGGACGAAATAATAGATATTTCTTTTGAACAACACGTACATTATGCTGTAATATACAAAACAATACACATTAATTGAATCGCTAATGATTGTTCCGTAAATGGTGATTGTAATTAATAAAATAAAACAGCACCCTTTTGTAGGCATTATTTCCATAGAATGAGGCTCATCCTCGAAGTAAAAGATCGTCTTTTTTCTAGTTGTCAAACTATGTACTTCAATACTTCGGTGTTTTAAGTTCGACAAGTACACATTATTACCAATATAATCAAATGCCATTCCTCCCACTATCATATCTTTGATCGATATGAGATTAGTAATATTGCCGTCTTTCGGATCATAGCGAATGACATAGTGATTATACTGATCGATAGCAAGTATAGTGCCTGTAAGTTTTAATCGTAAAAAATAATATAAAACAAAAATTAAAGAACATTCTTATTCGTAAAATAGCAATCTCGTCATACCAGTGAGTTGATCGTAAACTGCTTCGGTGACTGAAATCTCTTTTGAAACAGTATTCGTAGTTACGTTCGGCTTTCCTAACAACTCGTAATAATAATTTATGAATGTATTTCCAGCGATGATGACAAGATGAGGCTTCTCCTTCACGTCTGAAATTATATTTACGCTCATCAAAGACTGCAATCAGAACTCGTTAACGTTTAAAGTTCGTAATTGCGACGCAAATATCAGAGCGCTCAAAAATCTAAAACTTTTTTCCTGAATTGCAAATTTACCTAGACAGGTATGTCGATCGGCGTTCAATTTCTGGCCTATGGAACAGGCGCATGTATAGCTTTCGTTTCGATTCAACAAACACAGTTGAGAACATGGATTCGGACTACATGGATCTGAAAACTGAAATCAAATTTAACGATAATACAAATTTTGCAGTCGACTTTGTATTTATCAAACAATGAAAGATATTTCGTACTTTCAATTTCATAACTGGATAATCGATGTGGATACGGTAAGATTCCTCTATCGTGTGACTAAGGGTTTTCCAATCCTTTCCGGAAAATTTATCACATGTTTGTATTGTTTTAGATTCCCAGTCACTCCAGTATAATTTATTCTCGAAAACCGCCAAGGAAATCGCATGCTCTACTGTAGAATGTAATATGTCCTGCGGATAATTGAAATAGAAATGTATCAATTAAATTTTACAATTTTGTATTAGTGTATTTAAAAAAAAATGCACACTCACTCTTTTATCAGTGCCATCTAATTTTATTGATTCGATCATTCCATTTTCGGATAGCCAATACAATCGATTGCTTGGATAGTCAACAGCCAATCCATCGACATGCAATTCTGGTTCAACAAAAGTTGTCATATTTTTTCCATCCATTCCTGCCATTTTTATTTGTTTAGAAATATATTCATTATCAATGGAAATCTGTTCTTGATAGTAATACATTAATCTGTAAATAATATTAAATTATTATAAATATTATTAAACTAACATACTTTTTCATTAAATGTACAACTATTCTGATCTTCTAAATAAAATTTAAAAAGCAATTTTGATGTAATAAATATAAAGAAAAAAGATATAAAAACATAATCTATAAAAATGTAGTACATTATGATATGTATTTACCCTTTAGTCGGTAACAGGACAAGTAATTTCGGTAGCATACTGTCAGTATTGATTAATACGGTACAGTGTGTGCCCTTATTATTGCAAGCTCCGATACGGAAGTAGCCGGAATCAGTGAAATATATATTTCCCGTGATCCAATCCACATCTAAACTCGTCACCCTGTGTAAACCTTTTCACGACAAAAGCACATAAAATTATACTGAATTATATAATTACGTTAAAATTATAATATATTACAAGCTATGATTCTTCGAACATATTATTTTCAAGTATTTGTTATACAAACAAAATTTTATTCTTTTATTTAATTTATTTTTATCATAATATTTTTTAAAATATTGATATTAGTTTGCTTCATATTTTCTATCATAAATTGCTAATGTTATTAATATAGTATTACAGTTATTAAAATTCTGTTATTACATATGGCAATAATACAATATATGAAAATATGTATAATAAATTATAATTATAAATAATTGTTCGGTTTAATATAATAAAAAAAAATACTTAATTTTTATTTCCTATTGCGAAAAGAGATATTTTTCAAAATAGTATATATTGTAAAATTATTTATACATATTTACAAAGATTATAATAATCAATAAATATTATCATTAAAAAGCTTACCTTCTGTAACAATTGTTTCGTGCTTCTCACGCGTTTTATCAAAACTAACTCTCTTAATCACTGAGTTCTCATTCTCCTTTACTTCAGACCAATAAAAGTACCCATCGTTTATAACGGCATCGACAATGTGGTCTAAGTTTCTTACCATTATACCAGTATAGTATTCCGTATCAGGATTGAATAAGAAAATATTCTTTCTCGTAGAAAACACCAATGTAGCCGCACCTAAATTCCAAAAGAGATTTGCATATTTGTTAAGTTTTAATAGCATAAATAAGCATAATAATGCTTGCAAGCTAATCTACCATTATATTTGCAAGTCTTATTGTTGTCCTGCAATAAATAATTCGGATGACAGAAACAGTTGTATGATCCTAAAAGATTCTCGCATCCTTGATCGCATATCCCGTAAGTCTGACACTCGTCGATATCTATGGAAAAAAAATCGTTAAGTAAACGGAAGAGAAGAACGCTATTCTCGTACAATTGTCATTTTCGTTCATTGCAAATTTACCTGTACATGTATTATTCTCTTGCAATTTATACCCGGGTGGACAGAAACACACAGGTCCTGTAGGGGTTGACTTACAATATTGACATTTTACGGATGAACAGAGAGTTGTATTTGTGCCTGAAAAAGAAATGATTAACATTATAATAAATCGCACAATAAAGTTACATTAAGATTATATCATAAAAACAGAAAATAAAATAATACTATATAAAAATACATTGAAATTAAAAGAATATACCAATTAAAATACGTTGAAACACGAAGACGTATCATACTCACAATTACCACCTTCATCTGAATAATCTCCACAGTTATCTTTTGAGTCACATGCTACCTTAAGAGAAACGCATCGTTTATTTTTACATAAGTATCGATTATTCGTATTATTACACTCGGATTCTGTAATTTTATTCTCTGCAAAAACAAAACAACATTAAAAGAATATCTTTTTATAACACAGGATAATTTATGTGTATGTTTCATAATTATTATTAGCCGAAAGAGTTACCGCAATTTATTTCGTCGCTGTTGTCTGTACAATCTTTCGTGCCATCGCAAACCCATTCATTTCTCACACAAAATCCATTGTTACAGCGAAACTTATCAGTACAATTTAACTATTGTAACAAAAAATAAAATTGCAAAAAAATTTATTATAACATAAAGTAATACAGATAAAAAAAGATAAATAATGTGCGATAATGTGCGATAATGTGCGATAAAGTACGATAATGTGCGATAATGTGCGAAATAATCACGTTAATTCACTTACATGTTCCTGACAATCAACCAATTCATCGCTATGATCTGTGCAATCAAATACTTCATCGCAAAACTTGTGTTCCGGTATGCACTCTTTTTTATTTTGACATGAAAATTCATCATTAGCACAAGTAACATGATTTCCCTGAAAGCACAAACATGTTATTTAACTTGATACGGTATGTGTACACAAATGATCTAGAAAAGTAAAAAGTTGTGGATGTTCACTTAGAAGACAATTTCTCAAACTGAAAGTATATAATAACTGGAATGTCATCGGCAATTATATAATATTCACCATGTGGCAATTTTCTTCATCGCTATCATCGTCACAGTCAGACACAACATCACATTGATGTAAGTTTGATACGCATCGAATGCTTCCTGTTGTACATTGAAATTTATTCTTTGGACATGATCCTTCATAGTAAGAATAATCTTCGTTTCCGACTTTTCGGTCGATCGCAAATTAGAGCATAAAAAATCGATGTTTTAAAAATTAATGTATGTTACAAATTTTAATATTAATATTTTGTCTTACATTCATCTGTAAAAGCATCATATAGATCGACAGATTGAAACATGCCTTCAACCCCAGAAACCCATAAAAAGCTGCACACAAGTAACAGGTACGCAATACGACACATAATCTGCAAAATACGTTAAAATTTTATTATCAATTATTTGTTACTTTCTCAATTACTTTTGCACTAATCTATTTAAATACGCGAGTTACACATTAAATTTTTTAAATAGAAGTAGAATTATTTTCGTGAATAGTTCTAAAAATGTTTACCAAGTACAATCAAATACATAAGCTATTAAACGCTAATTTGTAGTAATTAATCGTTAGTCGACCACTTAAACATTATTATCAATATAAAAATTATTTTTTTAATTGCCATGAGAGAAAATCATGCAGTAAATTTTTTTATAATAATTAAAACTTAAACATTCCAATTTGTAATAATTCTTATTTTATTTAATGACAATAAATGTTAATTAAAAGTTAAAGAATATTGTAGAAGATTATCAATCTATCGCGTTCTACAATGTCCTCGATACACTAGCGTATCCTGATGTCGATAATAGGGGAGGTTTTGACCTGCTTTAATGCATTTTTTATCAAGATTCTTGAAACAGATCCAGCAAAATTGATTTTTTTAACTTGGAAGGGGGG